TTCATACCCACAAACCATTATACAAACTCTTAGATAATCAAAACTCCTCCTTACCTTAGAGTTCTCATAAGCTCTTCTATCTCTTAACAATGGTGGTCTCTTTTCCCTTGAGCTATAGCTTTCTCTTCTCACTTTCTCGTGTTTCACATTCTGACAGTTTTCTATCACCAAAACCCCTTTTCTTCTTTTATTATTTTATTATTATTGTTATTTACTTCTACCAATTATAATAATGATTTTAATAATAATAATACCTATTTATTTAACTAATTAAATTAAATAATACCAATATATATTATCTAACTAATTGATTATTAACTAATATGGCTAATTAGCTCAACTCTCCATACCACTCATCTTTACACTATTACTGACACACTCTCAACACCTAAAATTATATTTCTAAGACTACCACCCTACAGCAAGGACTCTCTAATACACCAAAACACCAATCACACAACAAGATCACCAAATATCACATAATTAAATCACAAAAATAATTTAAATTAAACCGGGGCATTACACAAAGATTGATCAAGTTATCATCAAAATCAATCCTTCATTTTGGTGGATTAGAGTTTTCACCCCATCAACACCCAAGATCCATTGAGTTTGATGAAACTTATGCCCAATTGAGCTACGATCCAAAGCCATCAGTTGTCAACATAAGTCAAACAAATATTAAATGAAATACAAGTCATTAAAATGCATAAAAGAAGGTTTTTAAAAATGATTTTTAAATGAAAATAAAATAGAAAATAGTAAGGTATATTCAAACCATCAAATAAATGGAAAATGAAACCATATAAAAATCAAATATAACCCAAAGTATTTCTAGAATTTTTTGAACATTATCAAAATCAGAAAACTATTTTTAAACCAATTAAAATAAAACAAATAATAGAAAATTAAAATAAAATAGAAAAATATAAAATAAAAATCTCAAAAAATTACACAAAGTGTAAAATAATCAGAAATACTCTTGTGATTTTTTTCATAATTTTTGGATCTAAAATGAAATTAAAATAAATTTTAGAAGTTTAAAACAATTTAAATAAAAAAATAGAAAAAGAAATAAAATCCAGATGCATCGGATCTGGTTTCATTAAATGAGGTGGCAAATCCAAGGGCGCAGAAGTGAGAGAGCATGGTGGAAATTAGTTTGATAAACACATTGGATCACAAATTAAATTAGCCAATAGAAACATTTCAAGTGGCAGCCTCTCATTGGTTGAAGCATTTCTTCAACCTCAGGCCACCACATTCTTCCTCAGGTCATCTTCTCTGACCAACCATAATCGAAGTTTCTTTATTTGGTAACATGAGAAGTTGAGACTAACACCATTGTGTTTGTCTCTTCATTGCGAACTTAGTCATATCCACCATAGAAATTTATTTAAAACGAGTTGAGAGAAATTTGTAGAAACTCGTGAAAAGTTTGAAAATGATTTTTAAAAATAAATTATCATACTCAAAGATGAAAGAAAACTAAAGGAAGCATATGTAAGAACAAGATTTGGTTATGCAATATTATCTCTGAGTTTTTATGATAACAAATAAGTATGTTTGTATGAATAATTTTGATACTCTAATGTTTGTTATTGTTGAGTACTTAACAAGCATGTTCTACTTCTGGTAGATGGTGTGGCCAAAATATTAGAAGAGAATTAATTCCTCTTCTACGCTACACAAGTTATATTGAACAGTAGAAAAACACTCCAAAAGGCTCTGAAGTGTAAGCTCTGATATTTGTTCTAAAGAAACCAGTCAGAAGATCTGAAGACAAAAGTTTCTACTTACGGCCAGATGCTAAAGACTCAAGTTTATAAAGAGAACATGTACCAAAGAAACAAAGTTAGAAGATCTGAAGAAAAATTTTCTACTAAAGTCTAGATGCTGAAGACTTGTGTTTCTAATACCAAGGTTCTAAAGACAAGGATTCTTAAAGAACCAAGTGCTAAAGATTCTAAAGACAGAAGGTCTGAAGATTCCAAAGACTTGAAGTTCCAAAGGTCCAAGATTATCTACAACGGGTTCTCAAGACCAAGTTCTGAAGACTCTAAAGACACAACTCTTATGACTCTGAAGACTTGAAGCTCTTCTGATCCAAGGTTCACTACAACGGGTTCTCACAACCAAGTGTTGAAGACTCTGAAGATGTAGTTTTGATGACCTTGTCTTATGTTCTCGCTTCTAAACTCATGCTCGTAGAAGGCTTTGAAGTGCAGACGGAAAGAAGATAATGTTAATGTAGTACAAATAGTACATGGTACAATCATTGTTTCATTCCACTACCATGAAAGGACGGACGTGCCGCACGATCTTATCCCCCAGTTATTATTCGAGTTGCCAATGTTTCTAGAAATCCCAAGAGTATCCCTCCATGAATATATTATTTTATTGGCTATATAAAGGCTTGAAGACTAAGAGAGAAAGATGCCAATTCACTAAATAATCACGCACAAATGTTATTCTAAGCTTTCACATTCTTAAGTCACTGTTCATAAAATAATTTACATATTCAGCTTTTTAGAAGCAACATTCTTGTAAACACAACTTGTATTCAAACGGTTGTTTGATATTCCTTAAGGGACCGGGTAGGTCTGTATTCTTAAGAAGTCTAGGACTTGTTAGCTTTAGAAGTTGTTTGTCACTTGCAAATAGCTTGTGCATTATAATAATCAGGTTGATTATTGTTTGATATTACTTAAGGGACCGGGTATGTTTGTAGCCTTAAGAAGTCTTTGACTTGTGAGTCTTAGAATTTGTTAGTTACTTGTGGGTAGATTGTGAAAATTGTAATAATTTTGGTTATAGTGAATTAAGTCCACGATTGAGTGAGGCGAAATCACCTTGGCGGGTGGACAAGACTAGCTTGATAATTTTCAAGTGAACTAGTATAAACATACATTGTTATTTACTTCCTGTTCTTACTTATTGTTATTATCAAGAGTGAAGATTAAAAGTATTTTAAATTAAAGGGGAATATTTTTAAAGAATTTTTGTGTGTTTTAAAACCCAATTCAAGCCCCCCCCCCCCTTTCTTGTGTTTTTGACACCTTCAACATGAGCATCAGTGAGTCAAGGACTACATTACGGTATCAAGTTTGAAATAAATGAATGCTTCTAACTACCTGAATGAAGTATGGTTGAAAGAGAAGATCAGAGCAGTTGGTTGAGGAGTTTCATATCACCTTAGACCTTAATTCTTGTTCCCTTAGCTTCATAGAAGAACGATGAAGATAATGGATGTGAGAAATTAGCTTGAAATAGCTTTGAAATATGAAATCGAAGTCTCACAATTGGGAGGTTATGAGTGAATCTGAATAGAGTTGTTTTGGATTTCTAAAGTTTGAGAATGATGCAAATAGGTTGACCTATATATAGGGAGTGAGGTTCAATGCTTATGTGTGTGAAATGAATCCAAATTCGTGTGAATTCGTTTGCAATCTAAAGTGAGAAAAGTGTGACTTGACAAGCATCAAAACGCAGCCAAATATCATGGATTACAAGTCATTTTGCTTGAGTGAACTTCCTTAATCATGTTTAGGTCCAAAATGCATGGTAATTTGATCATTAAAATGAGTTTTGTTGAGTGGAAAATTCTGACAAAAAAGAGAAAAGTAGTTTCATTTACCCATGTTCAAGCTCATGTGCCATCTTGTACACTAAACCTTTATGGCTCATTCTTTTTGAAAATTGACCGTATCATCACAAATAGTAAAATGTGACAAGAAAGTTTTGATTTGGACACCTAAGAAAATATTTATGACCAGGTGAAGTTGGTACAATGACCTGACTTTGGAATTTAAAATAATTCTAAGTCCAAAATGACATATAATGTCTTCAAACTTTTCACGGCTTTCCAAGCATAATTGACCTTTTATCCTTGAAACAAACTTGTAGAGGGAATCCCAAATTATAAGTAGAAAAATGAATCATCCAAAAAAGTTGAAATTTGAGAGGGTTATGATCTTTGAAAGTTAGGCAAAATCCACTTGAAAATATGTTAAATTTCACTAAGTCCACAAAGTGACCTCTAATATCTTCAAACTTTTGATGATCTTACAAACATAATTAGCTCTTGAATTATAAAGAGAAGTTGTATATAATGTCAAGTAGAGTAATATACCTAAATGATCACTAAAAAATGTTGAAAGATGAGTGAGTTATGATATTTTGATCTTGGACTTGAAATATTGACATTTTGGTCAAACCACTTTGAATCAACTAGTGAACTTGAAAATTTGTTGCACTTATAAACACATTGATGATCATATGAACTAAACATGATGTTACCTTTAATGTTCTTTGATTAAACTTGGCCAAATCTTGAGGTAACTTGTTGAAGAAGGCATGGAAATAAACACATGAACCTTTGAAGTTTCTTGAGAAACAAGCTATAAATATTTGAGGTACTCTTTATCACGATGAGATTGAATGATGTTTGAGTCCTTATGCCTTGATATTAGAAGCTATGATTTAATGATCAAGCCCTTGAGAATCAATGATTTACTAAACTTTGTCTTGAGGAAGCAAACCCTAGCTGAGAGAACCAAGGTTGATGCTCTTGGTTCAAAACCTACCTTTCATAATAAACAAGAGCAAACAAGACATATTTTTGGAATTTTGATTAGTGGTTAGTATAACGTAGACTATCTAAACACAAAATATAGAGATACACAAAAGAGGGTGATTGATAATCTCTACAAGGGCAAGACTTAGAGAGATGGGGATTAAGGAGCAACCATGTTTGTGATCTTGATGATATGCAATAATACAAAATCATATGGGATCTTAGGGGTAAAAATTAGGGTATGACAACGAGGTACCCCTTTCTCAGCAAAAGAAGAAAACTGATACCAATGTGATAGCGGCAGAAAATCTTTGGTGAGGATAGAGGCTCGGGACATCCCTATTTTTACAAGTGTAACTTGTGCCATGCATATAACTTGGACCAGTTATAAAAGTTTCTCGCCTTTTCCAAGTATCAGGGTCTTATGACAGGCTTATCTGGCCAGGTAGCGGTAACTTCTGCTATAACGACTATTCCTGCTCTGGCAGTTCACATACCGTCTACAGCCGCTGCCCCAGCAGTAATTGTGGCCCTCATTCCTGAGGTGGAACAACTGACCATCGAAGTAGCGGGCTTCCATGTCCTTGAGCCTTCACCGTCTCCTTCTCATATCAAGAGGAATCTTGGTGGCAGCTTGTCCATTACTGTTGAGGGAGGTTCTCCTAAGCATACTTGTTTAACAAAGGATGGTGGGTTGTAGGATTTTACTCATTTCATTCGGCTTCCTGCCATTATTTCATCTTGGGTACCCAACACCCCAAAGGAGTTTGCTGTTGTTGTATCCCAAGAGGACCTAACCTTTATTTTGAGCTTATCTATAGCTGGCATGCATGGTCTTTTTACAGATGCCTCTCATACTCGGTTTAGGATTAGATCTTTGGTTTCGATGGTAGTTGTTTTCCAGGACAAAAAACTGGGCTCTAGTGACCTTTTTAGGGAGTGGGATCAACTGAAGGAGAAATATGATGCCCTTGAGCGGGAAAATTTTACGGTTGTGAAGGAGTTGGCCGGGCTAAGGGCATAGACTGAGCTTGGAGACTATTTACAATGAGATGTGGATCAATACGGTTCTCCATAAACTTTGGTTGCTCAAATAACAAAGTTGAAGGCTTCTCTTACTGAGGGAGATGAATGTTGGAAGAAGGATTCTAAATGTACGATGGAAGTTGTGATACGGTGGAAGAACCGACTGTTATACTGGTTTTGTGTTTGTATTCGCAAATGTTATGGTAAGCAAGAGTCTCCATCAACTTTTCTTTTATCCAACAAAGGAAAGAGTGAAAAGAACAGAAAAAGACCTTTCGAGATTATTTGAGTAAGGGGGGTAGATTATGGAAAGGGAAGGTATTAGCACCCTTTCCATCCGTAGTTATCTACGGGCTCTTAGATGCTAGCTCGTTTGAAAAATATACCTTGTGATTTGTGTGTTTGAAAAAGTATTTTTGAAAGAAAGCGCCCTAGTACGACGAACTTTGTAATGTTTCTCGAATTGGTAGAGAACGTATACAAAGTGTTTTGAAAAATATTTTTGAAAGAATATTTGTGTATGTGAGAAAAATGGTTTTTTTTTTAGCAAGCATCTATGAACTATCTACTTTACTCGAAAGGTTGTTCTTTTCCTCTTTTCCTTTAGACATTGCTATTCTACTATTAGTGAGTAGGTAGCCCTAGTCGTTGGATGTTTGAGGGACATTCGAAGGGACATCGTATAGTCACAAAGGTAACTGGGCAAGAAACCTTAGTAACTACCCTAGGGTTTTAAGATCATACCGAGACAACATCGAGACGGTCATTTTTTATCTTTTAAACCAGAGGATAGCCACTAAAGTCTCTCACATTTCGAGAGTTGTGATTGTTTTTCGAAGGCAACCAAAGTAGGGATACCCTAGAGGTGTATATGTGAGATTGTGTTGTATTCAGTTATTTTGTCTTTGCATTAGGTTTTCTAGCATTTAATTTTAATCTCTTTCCATACAATCCTATTTATCATGCATCTAAATAGTTTAATAGTTGCAAGAATTTAAAGTGCCGAAATGTAAAATCTAGCTATTATAAGGCTTCGGGGAGGGGGATAAATTACAAGTCCAAAAATGAGGGGGATAAAGCAGTAAAAATGCTAGTTTAAATCTATTACATTCCATAAGCAAGTACAATAATATGAAAAATAGTAACGAAGCAATAAACACGCGTGAATTAAAAATAACGTCGAAAACCCTAAGGTACTTCTAAGTTAAAAGAAAATCTTTTTTGTCATTTTGTTTATTTAGAAAATATTAAATTAAATTAAGTCTAATTTCTTTATTAAAATAAAAAAGAAAAGAAAATTATTAATTAAAAATTAATTCTAAACAAATTAATATTTTTGATATTTTTTATTTATGGAAAGAATTAAAATTGATTAAATACTAAGTCTATTGATTTTAAATTAAAGAAATATGTCAAAGTAATTAATCAAATTAAATTATGAAAATTAAATTAAATAATAAAAAGAACCTAAATCTAAGTTGTATATTTTTTTCTGATTTTTATGATTAAAAAATGATTTTGAAAGCAAATAAATAATAAACAAAAAAAAGAAATAATAATTAAAAGAGATGGGCCTGGTGTTAAAGCGAATTAGGGGGTGAGATTTGAAATTCGTTTGGGCCCAAACAAATAGAATCCATGAGTTGCGTTGGATCCTATGGTGCTAGCCCTTGAGAGTCTACCATGAAGCTGCATGTTTGGGGGCACTGGATCTAACGTTGTATGGATCTGATGGTGCTGATGATAGAGTGCATGTACGCGCGCCAACCCTTGTTACATTGGATCTGCAAAACAAATATGAGAAAAAAATAAAATTCAAGACCTGGGATCGAACCCAGGCCTTCCAACATTATGCACGCACCTTTCACCACCAAGCCAACTGATCATTCGTTTATACAAACCACAAAATAATAATATAATACAAACAAGTGGAAAACGCTGAGTTGTCATCCACGCGCGCTGAGATGGGCCCCCTTGTATTTGAATGGACGAATCATGGTAAGCTGTTTTCCCACGCCTGCTTCGGGGAGGTCAAACTACCATTTATGGTGGTTGACCACCGTCTTCTCCGGCATGCTAAAAAATTAAACCTGTAAAATAAAGAGATTCGAAGCATGAAATTTGGTCTACCCCCCCCCCCCCCCCCTTAAACCTAGTGTTGTACCCCAAAATTTGCCCTCCCATATTCTTCAAGAAATTGCCAAGTCAAGCTTCAAAATTCCCCAAGGGTTGCATAGTGCAAGGGTATCCTAAACAGTCAAAATTAGGGTTTTGATTCTGATCCAGAAAATGAAGTTTCCAAGGGTCCAATCAAGTCTCACATGCCTAAAAATATGGTCAAGCATCCTCATATCAAGTTTCAAGACTTTCAGCACAAAATTGCACAGTCAAAAACCCTAATTGCACTACAGTCAACTGCAGGGGCAAAATGGTCATTTGACAGTCAAAAGTTCAAATTTTTGGTCAACATCTCATTTTGAAGCCACAAACATCATTTGATCAATGCTTGATCATGATTCTCAAAGCTTGGCTCAAAAATCATCAAGATGCAAAAGTTTCCTTATTTGGACAGCTGAAAAAGTCAACTGTAAATTGACCAGGGCATAACTTTCACATGGATTATCAGAAAAATTCCATCCAAAGCTCATTTTGAAGAGAAAGACATTTACTACAACTCATCTTCATACTTCAATTCCAAGAAATGCTCTCACAAAAAGTTATCAATTTCAACATTATAGGTCATTTTCAAAAGTCAACAAAAAGGGACTTTAAGTCAAAGGCCATAACTTGAGATTGGTAAGTCAAAATGACATGGTACAGAAGAAATTGGTTATAGGACTCAAAGACCTTTCCAAAATGTCCAAGAACATGAGCAAAGCTTAAAAATTGAGCAAGTTATGCCTTGTGGAAGTTGGGAAATTTTTGGATATTTTGAAAAGTCAACATTGATTCAAATGACCTAAAATTGCTAATGGGCCCATTTTTCTTCCACAATTCATCATCCAAGGCATGTTCACGACCACTTGGCCCAAAGGGAAGTTTTTCTTCATTTTTTATTTATTTATTTGAATTTTTATTAATAATAATTCATTTAAATCAATTAAATACATGAAAAATAATTAACCTAAGTTTTTCAATCCTTTTGTGCATATAATATCTTCAAAAATTCGTGCATGATCAGATATGGAAGAATTGGAATTGATTGGATATGATTGGTACAAAAATAGCATGAAAAAATATTGAAAAAAGATCTTGAAAAATCAAATCTCACAAACCATCAATGCATGGATTTTGATCAAATTTCTTGACCTAATTCACTCATACATAAGTTCAGAATGCAACCCTAGTAAGGAGGACCAAGAAGCTGCGCAGAAATAGCATATGAACACTTGAACTTTTTCAAAAAAATTCAAAAATTGAAAACCTATTTACAGGTCGATTCAAGCCAAAAGAATCATCCCATCACCTTCCTAGGACATCACTGATCCTAACTGAACAGATTTTCACGTCCCTCGCACCTTGAAACGGTATACAGAAGTCCAGCTTTTTCCACTTTTTCTCATAATCGTATTTTACATTCTATGCACATTCATGGCATTTTGTTTATAGATTCATGATCAGTGATGTGTTTTAAAGCTAACCATATGATTTGATTGGATTTTTATGCGCTATATAAGAAATCACCATGGGCGATGTTTAGGGTTTTCAGAACCTCAAATTGGGTTTTTTTTAATTAAGGAAAAATTGGCATCCAAGACTTAGACCATTGAATCAAGCATGGTTGGACGATCAGGAATCCACCCTCGCGCCTAATTTATGATGATCCCTGGGCTATTCGCTATTTTCCAGAAAATGGCCTAAGGGAACACTTGAAAAACCGTGGCCTATGTTTGTGTTTCAGAAAAAAAATGAAACAATGGAGAAGACAACTAGGTGGCAGGCGATGGTTGGTTGGTTTGAAAGTTCGCGCAAAAAGTAGCACTAACGCATTGTTTTATTTTATTATATTCATTTGTTATTTAATTTACAGATAAACAAAATAGCTCAATGGCAAGCGTACACGCTGGTAACGTTCAGGACCTGGGTTCGAGCCCCAGGTCCCCACCCCCTTTCATATTTATCTTCAATTAATAATTACATGCAGTTTCAGCCTAAAGGAGCACCATGCGTCCATCACATCTGGCCATCCACGTGCCCAATGAGTGCCCAATGAGATTAATCAGAAGGCCACAATCTGAAGCGTACCATAAGCATGAGTCAAAGGTCCCACACGTTGCATGGAAAAGTCAACAAGGCCTCCAGTAATGGGCCAGAATTATTGGACTTTCACCTCCACTTTGGGGACAGATACCCCCCTAGGTTTGCCATTTTTTTCACATTCTTTCTTTTTTTATTATTTCTATTTTCTTTTTAATTATTGTTTTGTTTAATTAATTTATTATTTTCATAAAAAACATAAAACACCAAAAAATCAGAAAAGAGAGAAAATATAATTAATATTTTATTTTAGTATTTTTATAAATAAATTGCATTGATTAAATTTAGTTATTAAACTAGGTTTAATAGTAATGTTTTCTTAATTAATTTAAAATTTGTAGAACTAGGGTTTTTGATAATTTTTTATTCTTGTTTTTTTCATAATAATCAAATATTTAATATTATTTATTTTTATAAATTGAAATTGCATGTAAAATAATTAGGTTTAATCTTAGGTTAAAGTTTAATGCTTTCTTAACAAATAAAAATCGTAGAATTAGGTTTAATTGCATTTAATTCTTTTTCCCATTAAAATCATAAAATACCAAAAAATACCAAAAACAATTTCTTTTTCTTTTTTTAATTAATTAATTTCATCATTAAATTTAATTTAGTTAAAAAGGGTCCAACGCCCTCGTTTCGATTTAAATTTCAATTCGCATATTTATTTCTTTTTCGTATAATATTTATGTACCTCTCCCAAGGCCTTGTAAATTATTTGTCGCACTTTATTTTATTTCT